ACAGAAAGGATATTATTAAATTAGAAAAAGTGCAGAAAAGATTTACTAGAAATGCCACCTCGGCTGGAAATTTTGAGTTATAAGGATAGGCCAGGACCTTTTACGCTGACGTGTAGGGGACTGAGGGGTGACCTTATAGAGGTCTATAAAATTATGAGAGACATACATATATGGTAAATAGCCAACAGCTTTTCCCCATGGTAGGTGAGTCGAAAACTACAGGGTATAGGTTTAAGATGAGAGGGGAGAGATACAAAAGGGTGCAGAGGGGCAATTTTTTCCATACAGAGGTGTGTGTCTGGATCGGGCTGCCAGAGATGGTAGTGGAGGTGAGGACAATTTTGTCATTTAAGAAACATTTGGACAGGTACATGTATGAGATAGGTATGGAGGGATATGGACTAAATGCACACAAATGCGACTAGATTAACTGTGAAAATTGGGTGGCACGGACGAGTTGGGCAGAAGGGCTTGTTTCCATGCTGTAAACCTCTCTGACTCTGACTGTAGCAGTTCCAGAAGGAAGCTCACTACTACGTTCTCCAGGGAAATTAGGGATGGGCAATCAATAGTGGCCTAGCCAACGGTGCCCACATCACAGGAGTGGATAAAAGCAAGTCAACACTGAACCAAAAGAAAGTGACTGGAGAATTAATAATGCAAGATAAAGAGATGGCAGATGAATTAACAGGATTTTGCTTCAACCGTCACTGTAGAAAATGCAAGTAAGTTCTGAGAATTGGCTGTCATTCAGGATGTAGAGGACAGAATGAAGCAGGGAGTACTGCAAAAACTGGAACTGTAGGTTGACAATTCCCAGGGTTCTCAATGACTTCATCTTAGAGTCTTAAGGAGCTTGTGACATAGTTCATGCATTGTTTTAATTTTTTAAAAACTCCCTACATTCGATAAGTAGGGAATGTAATTCCTTTGATCAAAAAGACATAAAACAGCAAAGTACAGGCCAGTATGTTTAACATATGTCATAGGGAAGATCTAGTTAGTTGGACACTTTAAAAAGTTCAAGGTAATTACGTGGAGTTCATATGATTTTGTGAATGGGGAGGTTATGTTTAACCAATTTATGGATTATTTGAGGAAGTAACATGTGCTGTGGATAAAGGGGAACCAGCAGATGTACTGTAATTAAATTTCAGGAAGGCATTTGATAAGAGGTCACAACAGTTCCTGCAGAATATAAAAGCTCATGGTGTACTGGGTAACGTATTGGCATGGGTAGAAGTTTGGCTGGATAACAGGAAACAGAAGGCATAAAACGGCATTTTCTGAAGAAGGGTCCCGACCCGAAACGTCAGTTTTCCTGCTCCTCTGATGCTGCTTGGCCTGTTGTGTTCCTCCAGCTGCACACTGTGTTACCTTAGGCATAAATGAGTCTATTTTTGGATGGCAAGATGTAATAAGTGGTGTGCCACTTGAATCAATAATGGTGCCTCAACTTCTTATAACTTATATAAATGAATTTGATGAAGGTACTGGAACTATGGTGGCTAAATGTGATGATGGCACAAATGTACACAGGAATGTAAGTTGTGAAAAGGACTTGAGGAAACTGGAAAGGTTGAGTGAGTGGGCAAAGACAGAGGAATATCTTGTAGAAAATGTGAAATTGTCCATCTTGGCCAGAAGAATAGAGTGCAGACATCTGAGATGCAGAGGGATCTGCATGCCCTAGTCAATGAACTGCAAAAGATCAGTATGCAGATACAGCAAGTAATTAGGAAAGTTAGTAGAATGTTATTGTTTATTATGGAGGCAATTGAATACAAAAGTAGGAAGGTCATGCTTGCTAGAGAAATAGGAAAATTATACAGTGCATCCATGAGCCCACGTCTGGAGTACTGTGTACTGTATTAATCACTTTATTTAAGGAATGATGTAAGTGCATCAAGAGCAGTTCAGAGCAAGTTTGCTGGACTAATACCTGGAATTAGTGTGTTGTCTCATGAGGAAGTGTTAGACACATTAGGTTACATCTGCTAGAGTTTAGAAAGAGTAAGAGGCAACTTCACTGAAACATATAAGATGATAAGTGGTGTTGAAAAGATGCATTTGGAAAAGGGTTTTCCCTCTTGGGAAGAATCTAGAACGAGGAACCACTGTTTCAAAATAAGGAGTCACCCATTAAAGTCAGAGGTGAAAAGAATTTTTTTCTCTCTCAACTCTTGGCTCTTTGGAACTCTCTTTTTGAATATTTTTAAAGGCAGTGGTAGATTGATTCTTGATAAGCAAGGTTCTGAGGGGTTGCAGGAGTAATCAGATCAGCTGTGATCTTATTGAATGGTGGACCAGGCCTGAGGGGTAGAGCAGCCTGCCCTGCTTCTAGTTCGTATGAGAATTCTGCACCGTGATATAAAGTAACCTTTGCCATTGCATTACTTGGTTTCAAGGATTCTGGAGTTGTATTATAGGAAGTGCTGTGGGATAGCTGACTAAGACAGATCACAGGGCTTCTGGTTGTACGGTTAATATACTTCAACTGCACACATTGTTTCAACTCTTCAACAAGTCAATACTTTGAGTACAGTCAGGCGATTTTAATTGCTCCATTACTATCGAGATGAGATCATGTGAACAGTGCAGGAGAGGGAGGACCTATTTGGAGAGGCCTGTAAAGAATCTGGAGCTCAAAATGATGGTGTTCAGGACTCTTCATCATCATCAACATAATACCGAGCCCCCTCATTCACTGGAACTTCCTGATAGTACTGGTATTCAGCTATCAGATCCAGCATGTCAGCTTCAGCCTCTGTGAACTCCGTCTCATCCATGCCCTCACCAGTATACCAATGTAAGAAGGCTTTCCTCCGGAACATTGCAGAAAACTGCTCACCAATGCGCTTGAACAGCTCCTGGATGGCTGTTGTGTTGCCAATGAAGGTGGCTGCCATTCTAAGGCCTCTTGGTGGGATGTCACAGACAGCAGTCTTGACATTGTTGGGGATCCATTCCACGAAATAAGGGCTGTTTTTGTTCTGGACGTTTAACATCTGTTCATCCACCTCTTTCATGGACATGCGGCCTCGGAAAATAGCAGCAACAGTCAGATAGCGGCCATGTCGAGGGTCACAGGCTGCCATCATGTTCTTGGCATCAAACATTTGCTTGGTAAGCTCAGGTACTGTGAGGGCACGATATGGCTGGGTACCACGGCTAGTCAGAGGAGTGAACCCTGGCACAAAAAAATGTAGGCGGGGGAAGGGGACCATGTTCACTGCTAGTTTACGCAGGTCAGCATTGAGCTGACCGGGGAAACGTAGACAGGTTGTTACACCACTCATGGTAGCTGACACAAGGTGGTTCATGTCACCATAAGTGGGAGTTGTGAGTTTGAGAGTTCGGAAACAGATGTCATGCAGAGCCTCATTATCAATACAGAAGGTCTCATCTGTATTCTCTATAAGGTGGTGAATTGATAGAGTTGCATTATACGGCTCTACCACAGTGTCCGATACTTTGGGTGAAGGAATAACACTGAAAGAGAGCATCATTCTGTCGGGGTATTCTTCACGGATCTTGTTGAGGATAAGGACACCCATGCCAGCACCAGTACCACCACCCAGTGAATGGGTAAGCTGGAATCCCTGGAGGCAATCACATCCCTCAGCCTCCTTCCTCACTACATCCATGACAGAGTCAGCCAATTCAGCTCCTTCAGTGTAATGACCCTTGGCCCAGTTGTTAGAGGCACTGCTACGTCCTGAAACAAAGGATGCCAAATAAAATGCTTTAGTAAAAGATATCAATATTGAAGGTCAATGTAAGGTTACTTGCCCCCAACAAGCTTACCTCCCTCCCACTAATCTAAATGCTGCAGTTTGCGTTCTGAATACTCTTCATGACAATATCTCCAAAATCTCATGTGGCAGGACATTACATACACTTTTCAGGAAACAATATTGCAATACCTGCTTAAATTAACTATTCACTAATTAAAGGTCTTCTGGTTTTGCCAACTGTGAACTAATAGTGCAGACTTTTTAACAATTTAACATTTTATATCTTTCGAGAAAATTGCCCTTAGACTTTAAGACATTAAAACTTGGTTCCTTTAAGCTTTCTCAACCCATCCCTTTTCATGTGGAATGTTCCTTTGATACATTTTCTGCATTCCTACTCCAATATACACATTTCCTTTTTTTTAAACCACTTGCTTAACATCAAACTGTCAGAACGGTTGAGGTTACCACGAAGAATTCTCCTCAACATTTCACCTTGCTTGATGCATGGTAAACCACCACCAATTATCTCTGTCTGATGAGAAAGCAGCCCTACAGTTCTCTGGGACTACGGCAACCCTTTAAACATCACACACATCTGAACAATGAAGCAATAACTCACATTACAGCCGTTGTTCTGACATTGCACTGAAGAATTCTCAAATCATTTTTAAAACTGTTTTAATAAGTCTAATTTTTTACCACCAGGTCTCCAATACCAAGTCACCCTCTACCAATTTCATCCCATAAGAGTTTGAAATTTAGCTTGTAAGTTGGATAGTTCAAGATGGGTAATTTCCTGTTGAAAGTAGAGACTCCCTGCTCTCAGATGCAAAGTGGAGTTGGCTACAGGATTGCAAAGTGCTGAGCTCAGCTGTTTACAGGTTGGTAACAGTTCCCTGTGACTTTTTTCCAATTATTGTTACATTTTAGGCTTTCTACCAGTTACTCCACGCAATGCATCATTTCCCCCATTCAAACCAGTGCATGCCCCCATTCACCATCCTATGCTATTGTAAAGGGTGCCAACTCATCCAATATCTACCATGGGCAGACCTCAGGTTGAGATAAAATGAAATGAACAATATAAAAGAAAACTCCAAACCGCAAAATCCATCCAAACAGTTGAATTTGCTCAAATAATTGCATATAAAAACTACTGTATTCAAAACCTTGCATTAAAAACAGCTGGTCCTGTATTAACTTCTGAGCTGTGAACTTACAACTCTCTACTGAGATAATGACAGCTTATGCAAAGTAGCCAAGCATTAAAAATGACACATTGATAGTAGTGAGGTAATGTCAACAAACAGCTATTGTATCTGTTAGACCAAATGTTTTTCAACTCTCAATAACACAAACCGCCTATTTTCTTTTATTGAAGCAACATGTTTAAAGGGTTAGGGAATTAAATAACTTCAAAACTTTTTACCTCTCATTGACACAGGCAAGCTAAATTTTTAATATTTAAAAGGGCTAAGAGGTTGTCAATTCCTTATCCATCACTCAAGAGCAGATGTGACTACAGTATAAGTTTGTAACTCTAAGGCACCTGGCACTGTGAAAACAGCAGCCATGTATTCAAATAGTCCTGCTGAGTTTGGATTTCCTGCATGCCAGCCTTTTCCCCTACCAGTGAAAATGAGGTGTGTCAGAAAGAGGAGTGGGATTCTGAATATGGATTGTGCCTACCATTTTAAAGGTCCACTGAGCTGAAAATCCAGACCAGGAGAGGAATTTAGATTAGTTACACAGCAGGGTAAAGAAACAGAAAATAAATCTCAAAGAAAATTTAAAGGGCAAAAAAGTGGGCATACCTAGAAGACAAATTTGATTAACACTTGATTTACAACTCAATATTTCCAGTGTATAAACTTAACAAGAAATAAAATGTGAAACTCACTATCCCAGCGTGCATTTGAAACAACAATATAGGTGCAATTGAGGGAGAAGGGAATAGACAGTTACAATAGTAGATTTAGATTAAGAAAGATGTTGGAGGCTTGAGTTGAGCATAAACATCACCATTGACCTTATTCTGAAAGTATGCCCTCTTACTTCTGGATTTCCACACGAGGTGAAACATTCTCAGCATCCACCATGTCAAGCCCATTGAATTGAATGTATCAATAAAATCACCTCCCACTTTTCTAAATTGAGGGTATAAGTCCCATTTGCTTAACCTTTCCTCATAAAACAAAGCTCTTCATCTCAGGAATCAACCTGGAAAATCTTCTATAAACTGCCCCCAATAGAAGAGTATCCCTTCTTAAACAATACCAAAACAATATGCAATATTTTGGGTGTTGTTTCAGCAATGTCTTGTACAAGTGCAGCAAGACTTCCTCAATTTATATCTTAACCCTTTCGCAATAAAGTCCAACCTTCCATTTGCTTTCCTAATTACTTGCTATAACTGTATGCTAATTCACGTACAAGGTCATCCACGTTCATCTATAATCATTCTGCAGTCTCATTCAAACAATATTTTGATTTTGTGTTCTTTTTATTGAAATGAATAACTTTATTTTTTTCTCAGGAATGACATCTACCAATTTTTTTCCTCAACTTTCTCTCAGCAGCAATTTTTGCTCGATTCCTTCATCCAAGTCATTAATTTAGACAGAAAAGACCCCAGATGATCCCTATACCACCTCAGTTTGCCAACTTAGAAAGGATTCCTTTATCACAGCTCTGTTTTTTGTTAGTTATCTAATCCTTAATTCAAGATGTAATGGTTCAGGAACAGTAATGATCTTCACAACCACTGTAAAGGTAGTTGTGCAACTAGTCAAGATTGCAGTAGGCACCATAGCTTCTCTGGTGAAACAATGCAATTGTGAATTATGTCAACCAGGCGTTGCAGTGACTTGGTTCAATTCCATCGTGCTGCCGCTCGAGTCAGAAGCTTGTAGATTCAAGTCCCATCTACAGACATGAACACAAAATCTAGGGTGACATTCCAATGCTGTACTTGAGCAATGCTGTACTGTTGGAGGTGTCTTTTTCAGATGAGAAGTTAACTAAGGCTCCCTCAACTGAACAGAACTGATCTCAGGGGTCTATTCAAACAGTTGGGGAGTTCCCTTTACTGTCATTGGCAATATTTATCCCGTGACCAACATCACTAAGAAAGATTATCTGGTTGTTATCACAATGCAGTCTGCAACGCTTACTATATTAACCATAATATTCCCTATATCACAGCAGTTCCTGCATCTTAAAAGTAGCTGCAGAGCACTTCTGAAGTTGCGAAATGTAATAATATACGCTAATCTAGCTTTCTTTTGGACTGTTTATTTTACAGTGACAGCAAATGAGTGCTAAATGTTTCGTGCTATGCTAAATCACTCTGCCTTTCCTCCATTTCTCCAATCTCCACCCAAAAGAACCATATTCTCAAAGGGAAAGTCACTGTGGACTCCTTAGGATATTGAAGAACAGAAAAAATACAGGCATCTGACAACAAAGGGCATAAAAACAGATGGTGAAACAGCAGGATAACAAAAACAGCCAAATGTTCCTACCCTAATAGTAACTGGACTATATAAAACCATTCTGCCTTTCATTTATTATCAATATTAGGTGGCTGTTTTGACATTGTAAGATGGGGTTGGGGGATCGGAGCCACTATTTCTTCTTGCACACAATGTGAGAAGATTATATATCAAACTTATCAGCTCATGCAGAATGAGAGGTGGCCTTTTGACAATGGCCACAACACCACCAGTTCCTACGCAATGTGAATGTTAACAAAGCTTTTTCACAGGATCTCCTAAACAGCGACCTCTATTATCTAGATTAGGAATTCCCAAAATTAAAGAGGTTGCAAGAACAGGCAGTGCTAGGGATTCACACCTTCAAATATTTTAAGATAATAAAGTCGTTAAAGTATATGGAGTCCTTAGTTTTATTAATAGAGGCAGAGAGTGTAAAAACAATCAAGTAATGCTGAACCTTTATAAAGCATTGTTAGACCTCAGCCAGGATTTGGACATTATACGTCCGGAGAGATAAAGAGCTTGAACATGTTAAAGAGAACACTATCTAAAATGATACCTTGTATGTGAGGGGAGACTATAGAATAGTCCTGTAAATGTTTTGTTTTCATGTATTTATCTAATTGCCTATTAGGAGTGACAATTATATTTGGTTTCCACCCTTACGTCAGTGTATTACAGATTACAACAACCTGCAGCACAAAATAGCACTCATTAACCCTCAACTTAAGGGTCCCAGAAACTGGGATTGTTTTATCAACAACATTGTAAGGAAAAGAAAAAGGTTCTGCTTAGACAGTATGAGGAGTTGGCACCAAATTAAAGAACAGCACTTCTAGGGCTGTAATCTCTGGATTAATATCCGAGTCAGATACCAGTTGGCACAGGGAACGCAAGATTAGTGACAGAAAATGCATGGCTCAGAGACCAATGTGGGATAAGTGAATCCCAGTACCAGTTTGTGGGACATTGGCATCAGAATTTCGGACAGTTGGAACTGTACCTTTAAGACTGTCTATGAACAGCACAGGGACCAGTATTCTAGCAAATTAAGCATAACTAAATACAAAGATGTATACAATAGTTAAGTAGTTCCTTACAGCATATTAAGGATAGTAGGATAGATGATGCGTCACAGTTGCAGCATGTAGGAATTCCCAGATGCCAGTCTAGTCCAGAGCAAACAGATCTCTGTCAAATATTTTAATATTGAGCATAGTCATACAGCATGGAAACAGACCCTTCGGTTCAACTAGCCCACACCATGTTCCCAAACTAAACCAGTCCCACCTGGCTGCGTTTGGCCCATATCCCTCCAAACCTTTCCTTTTCATGAACTTCTCCAAATATCTTTTAAACATTGCAACTGTACCAGCATCCACCACTTTCTCTGGCAATTTATTCCACACAATAATCAACCTCTTATGTATAAAAAATTCCTCATGTCCTTTTTAAATCTCTCTTCTCTCACCTTAAAAATA